AGCAAGAAATGAGATAGGGTACACGAGCAAAACTTACAATATAATGCTTACAAGTGCAGAATTTGCTGTACTCAACAAATACTTCTTCAAAACATCCATCACTGACCCAAAATCAACCTTCACTTGAAAGGGACGGCCAGCCAATTGCCAAGCCATATCCTTGATATCCTTTGAGCGATAATCCATCCTACTCTGTAAATTTCAATCCATTAGCAGTGCTCACCACCACTGTCCGATCCATAGGACCAATAATCCCACTTCTTCTGAGCTTAATCAAGGCTGTCAATGCATGCCACACCAGTATTAGGGCATGTCAACATACCAATAGAATCAGCTTGCACCATGGCATCCATCAATTCCTCCTTTGTTTTTTTTGAAATGCAAAAATATTTTATTTTGTTTTGGGAGTACCAGGGGTACTAACAAGAGATCAAGTCTTGTTTACAGAGGATCCTTCAAAATACAGCTGATCATAGAAGGGATGGGAGGGCCTTTGGCTGTTTAAGAATCGATTCCTCCTTTGTAACTTCCTCAACAATATCATTTGAATTCTTTAATGCATACACAACTCCATCTATGAAAACAGGATCCCTAAGCTGAAAAATAGATGTAAATGTGGCATTTGCTTTTACTGGCTTAAACTCCTTCCATCCAGACTTGTAATACAAGTGATATCAGCATAAATTGTTTGAACACACGTCAACCCAGGAATTCTATCAACAAGCCCCAAATCTTTACACATAAGAAATACTTTGTAAAACGCATAGATATTACCATAATGGGATATGAAAATCTTATGATCAATGATCAATCTATACTATTGCCTATTCATGGATTAATGTTTTCTTTTGGGCCATATTTCTAATGCGATATTGAGAAATCTAATCAAAATGATAAGTTCTCACAGTTTGAGCCTAGAGCACATTTTCTTAGCCATTCTAAATTCTCCTTTTTCTCTGAAATATCCATTTTGGTATTTTAATGTGTAAATAAGTATCTCCTATATTGATGGTCGTTGATAGAAATTCTAGTGGAACTATTGCAACCTGTTATTAGCAGTTAAATGGATCCTTTTTTATTAACCTGAGATAATGTTGTTGTAGGCTTTGATATGTACAGTGGCTATGGTAATCATAATACTTGTTCCTCTTCTTAGTTCCTTCCACTATAATATGTTTCTGTTCTCGCGACTTTTATGTGCTTCCTCCACCAAAACATCTGCACAGGATCTATAGATAAAGGTTTCATCCATTTTAGTAGTAATGGAGGCAAGAAGAGGAACATTGGCACTTAGAATGGTTGGCCATATGCCATGTAAATCAATTGTTGGATTCTTCTCAGGTCTTGTACATGATGCGAACTTTAAGTTGTAAATTTTGAGAACCGTCTAATACCCATTATGTGGACAGTGTATGAACTATTAACAAGCAAGTATGAAATTCCCAAAAATGTACTTTGGAAGAATTTAATATTTTGTTTGTGTTTAGAAGAAACTTAATAGGAATGTTTACATGATTTTAGGAATATGGAACATTTGTTCATCGGTAAGACATAAGTTATTGCTTAGCCATTACATCAATTTAAACCCTAATATGGGAACTAATTTTTTTTGAAGTTTTCCGCAGGAAGTCCCTATAGGACCTCTTTGGTTGCCATGGCTCCGGATGAAGAATGACAACTGCTCGATTAATTTCGAATATTTGATATAATTGGTTAGAAGAAAAGCATAAGCAATTGAACAATGATTGGTGCACACCTAAATCCAACACCCGAGTGTGCACCCCCACATAACAAAAAAAAGATGGACTGGGTGATGGGCAAATTTTTTCTTTTTTATATGATGTGTGTGCACCCGGGTGTTGGATCCGGGTGTGCACATATCATTTTCCTAAGCAATTACAATGCTCAAAAGGAACATTACCGCTTTTATTTTTGGAAAGTGTTTCAGGCAAATATAATTGATTATATTGAATTTATAATCAGTTCTATTGCTTTATCATTTTTTAACTGTTGGATTTTTTACTCGAAATCCATACCAGGAAAATTAAGTAGTTTTCTGAGCTTAAGCCAAGCCCTTTTTTATTGTGGCCTCCCCAAATTGTGTTTTAGGAAAATTTCCTAACTAAACGGCCCTAAAAAAAAGGGGCGAGGAAAAAGAAACGGTTCATTTTGCAAATTTAATAACAAATATAGCTATATTCGTTCCCCCTTGTGCATCTATGTAGGTACATAATTTAGATGCACAAAGGGGACTAAATATAGCTGTACTTGTCATTAAAGCTAGAAAATAAAAATGGGTCATTGCCATACATATGCAAACCTTTCTATTTCTTGCCATATATATTCTTTTTTTCAACAATTATTGCCATATATTTTCAATATTTTCTAGTTTCCATAGATATATATCACTTATTCTTACATCTATATATATCCATATAATGAACAAATTATTTAACATTTTTGTGAAAAATCAATCTTTTCTTCAAAGAGGTAATCACTAGTGATATATAGTTCATCATGAGGTCATTGATCGTTGTCGTTTTGGCTTTCATCCTTCTGTTTAACCTAGCAACCTTTACTCAAGGCACATACATGCATACTTTTTTTTTTTTGTTCTCTTTTTTGAGTTACATATAATCAGAATTTTATTTTTTATTGTATTAGTTAATTAATTAATAATTTTTTATACAAGTTGTTTTTTCTCAAATCCAATGTTGAATTTAATATTTTGTTCATATAAATTATACATGTCAAATTTTAAATTAATAAGATATGTTTAACTATTTCATAATTGCACTTAATTTTAAACCATTAAATAAATAATAGAAAATATAGTTTTGTGTTTGTATAGTTATAGTTACAAATTTCAGATCACCTTAAAATTAATTTGACTTGAATAATTTACATAATTAAAATGTTAAATCCAACAATTAATTTAACAAAATTCAATTCAATAGAGAAAATTATTGACTAATGTAAGTTATACTACTATAAGTTAATCCTGTCTATATAGGTCGAATACCCAAATCTACCTCTAAACTATAGTAGTAGAGACAAATCCACCTGCTGACCGAAAAAAAAAAAGAAAAAGAAGACAAATGAACTCTCCAACTAATCTTTCAATATTGTAACTTACAATTACAAAATACATTTTATAGTGAAACTAAGAGGTAAAATCATAAGATTGTTGTTCGTTACTTTGCTCACTTTCATCTTTCTATTCAACTTAACAACCCTCATCCAAGGTATATATATATACACTTTTTCATTGTTTTTAATCTTTATTGTTATAAGGATAATTTATACATTTAAAAGGTTAAAACCCTATTTTGACCCATCTGCTTTAACAAAAAATATCTTTTTAGTTCCTTTACTTAAAAAAACACATTTTAAAGTTTATTGTCCGATCTCTTTTTAGTCTCTCTATTATCTTTTTATACATATGGCACGTGTGATAACAAAACTTCCAAAGTAAAAGGATAAAAAAGCCCATTTTTTGTCTCTTTACTTTAAAAAGGGTCATTTTTAATTTATTTATTTTGAAAATTTTGCTATTTAATGTGTTACATATATAAAAAGACAATGAATCAACTAGAAATGGGCTAGATTATAAACTTTATGGATTAAAAAGAGGTTTTTTTTTTTTAAATAGGTGGACTAAAAATAAGCTTTATGTTAAAGTAAAAGAGTAAAATGAGGTTTTAACCT